TAAAAAGGAAATATCCTCTTATCAAAATAGGACCTATGTTTCCCTACAGAGTTATTTCTAATGGTAAAGGGGGAAATGCACTCAAGTGATCCAACTGAGCATCACCAATCTGACATTTTGTGCTTCCTGAGGTGATACAATAAGAGTTATACAGCATCCCTTATAAAGTATTATTCTCATTTAATATAAACCTAATCAAGCCTCTAGCCCAGTGCTGTCTAATAAAATTTTATGTGATGATGGAAATATTCTTTATCTGTGCCGTCCAATAAGGTAGGCACTAGTCACATGTAGATATTAAGGGTTTAAAATGTGGACAGTGCAATTGAGGAACTAGATTTTTAATTTATTTAATTTTAACTAATTTAAATTCAAATCATATGTGCCTATTGTCTACCGTATTGGACAGCCCAGACCTAGAATTAGTTTCCAAGTTCCAGAAAATACAAGAGATAGAGCCTGAAGTTAAATCACATAAAACCTATTTAACTTCTTAGGACAATTGGGAAAATTGAATACGGAATGGACAGTAAGTGGTTCTTCGGAACTATAGTTAATTTTCTCATGTGTGAAAATGGCACTGCCCCTACTCCTAAGAAATGCACACTGAAGTATTTAGGGTCACATGTCATGCTTTCTGCAGCTGTCGAGTAAATGGGCAAATGTGAAAGCAAATTTGGCATAATGCTGACAACTGGCAGATCTAAGCGTCTAGGTGGTGCATCTATGGGTGGTTGTTGTATTATTTCAACTTTTCTCTATGTTTGGAAACTCTCGTAAGAGTTGAAAAAGACATACAAGACAAATATTAAATAATCTGATGACTGCTGCCATGGTAGAAAAAAATCACATGTTTTCATCAGTAGACTGAACAAACAATCCGGAGATGACAAAATCCAGATTTTTGTTTTAGGAGTTTACCCACTACTGGAATGGAAATATCTTGATGTTACTTGTTAATAGCTCATTCTGTCCCGGGCTCCCTCCTCCCTCCATCACACCCCACACACAGGCCCCCTCCTGCTCCCGGTTTCCCCAGCACTGGGCCTCCCTTCTCCTGTCCCGGCCCTGCCCTGCCCTCCCCATTCCACACATGGGTACAAGCCCTGCTGGCAAGGCACTTTGAAGATGAAACATGCTGAGTCCCCCTACGGCCCAAGGGCTGGCATCATTTACAAAGAAGAGGGTGTGGGCCACTCCACCATTAAAGCACATTCTGGAGAGGCGTTGGACCCGGCTAACCGCCGAAGCCCATAAAGCCCAAATTGCCCCAACCCCGTCTTCATAGCCGAGCCCCTTCGGAATCTGAAGATAAATAGGACTGAGGCACCCTGCGGAGCACATTGGAGTTTCCATCAGGACTCCAGATCTCTTCTCCTGTGCTCTGCAACCCAACTTCTAAAGCACCATGACCTGCGGATCAGGATTCGGTGGCCGCGTCTTCACCTGCGCCTCGGCCTGCGGGCCCCGGCCCGGCCGCTGCTGCATCACGGCCGCCCCC